CTGCACACGAGGCCAGATTAACGTCCTTCTTGTCTAGGGAGACAGTGGCTTTGGGATGGAAGACTATTGCTCCTACATTGGTGTTATGTCCTTAAGAGAAAGGAAAATCAAAATTCATAATCTGCCACGTGATCTGGGCCAATTCTTCAGAAAAGCAGCATTTCTTTGTTACTAATTAGTCAGGTACCAGTGAACACTTTCACTGTGTCCTCCCATGTTGGGTGAAGTTGTATTGTAACTACCAGATGTATCTGTCCTGCAAACAGGTAAACTGCACTTCCAGTAGCACCCACTGAAGAGTATCAAACACCAAGGTTTGTAACCCTCAAAATGTAGTGAAAATTCAACATATGAATCAAGAGATTTGACGTCACATTTGTATTTAGTCAAAGTTGTGACCACTGTTCAAAGAATCTCACTGCTGTTAAGTGACCTGGCCAAAAATGCTGATATTTGGCTCAAAATAATGCAAACCAGGTTTTGAAACAAAACAAAACACCATTCAGAAACAACAAACTTGGGTCTTAGCTCTAAGAGAAAGGCCAGGACCTCCTCTTGATTATCTGGCATATGCACATGCTCCACAAGCCTGACTAATGCTCTCAATAGGATAAAATCTGCCCAAAGAATACTACATTTTGAGTCACAAAGTAATTCAGATATGGGAACTCAATGCAGAGAGGAACAAAAGAACTAAGCAAAGAGTCTTGGTGAAAGTTGCTCTCTACCTCGTAAGGTGTGAACAAGGTTGCAGTCAGGCACGGACCAGAGCTTGCACAATCCGCTCCTGTTGAAGACAAGAAATAGGTGTCAGTGTAGACAGGAACGTCAAAGAACAGATCAAACGCAGAGCTGCAAAACCACCCTGGGGTGTTCTGCAATGGCTAAAATACCAATACACTTTGGGCAACCAGCCATAGGAACTAACGGACTCAGACTGAAATCTCTGCTAAGCTCTAAAATGAAGCAAAGAGAGAGTTCAGAATAGGAAGAAAAAACATTTCTCAACCCTCATGATTCACAAGCCTCTAACAACATCTCTCTCCTTCACTTCTGCTGTGCTCTCCCAGCCCCTAAAGCAACTGCTGTAAAAGAAAACTTACCAACAGGCAGTAGCAAGGAGTTTGGAATTGGGGCTGAAATGGCAGTAGGACAGTGGGCGATCGTCTCCAATCTGACTGCAGAAGTTATTCAAAGACTGTAACCAAATACAAGGAAAACAATAAATGAATAAAGTACAAACAATCTAAAGAAAGCCCCAGCCAAAGACTGAGGTGAAGGAGGCAAATGTACACAGGAGGAGGCAGATGCCTTTGGAAAGTCACTTTCAAAGGGAGGAGTTGCCTCGGAGCCACCCTGCTTTGCAACTGTGGTTTTGACAGAGAACTTACTGTAGTTTTGGCCTCCTTCTACAACTCATCCAATGAATGCAACCCGACAGACTAGGGCAGGCAGCGTGGTGCGCTTAGGGGAGAAACAAATCTTCTGGCAGCTAATGCCTCTGGGTGTAAACAGGATTAGAGTGGCAGCACACTGTGTGCTTGAGCCTCTCTGTTCGGTTAAGCTGGGAATTTGACTTAGCATGCTGGAACAGTGCATCTCAGAGTCATCTAAAACATGTTTTGCATTACTGCATTGGTGGTTATTTGCCTTGGTTTTATGCACTAGCGACCATTGTACAGGAAGAGGAAAGTCAGCAGTCCCTTCCTAGCCAGCTAAACCTGTGACAAAACCAGGAATAAATTCCTTTAGCTTCACAGGCAAGTGGCAAGGCAATGCAGGGATGTCTCTTTATCCCTCTGCCATGCAAGGCAACAACTAAAGTACGTTTCTCTGAATCACTGAAGAAAGAGTTAGAACGTGCTTTATGGATACCACCAGGAAAGAGAGAAAAAGCAGAGCTTTCCAACAGATGACAGTGCAGAGAACTACATGCACCTGGACAGCAGCTCCGGGCAGCTGATCTCTTTGGAGGATCAGCAAAAAGTTGTAAAAACAGCAGCTGAGCAGCTGCTCAACCTACTCGCAGGGATTTGTGTAGCTCCTGCCTCTGTGATGTCCTGGTTGCCTCTGGAATCTCTTTGAGCAGCCGGGCTTCTTCTAGCCGCTTCACTGCCCTGTGAAGAGGAAAGGTGGAGTAACAAGCCCCTACATTTTCCCTGCCCTGATGCCAGAAACAGGCCTTTCCCCCCCTTTTCTCCCAAACTGGGCTAATGCTACAGTCAGTCACCAACAACTTAAGCCCTAAGCTCACTGGACTTATCTACCAGTGTATGTCCCCCATTCCTTTGATCTCAAATTTCCTGCACTACCTGCAGTGGGATTAGTTGCTGGATTTTACAAAAGGTTTCATCTGCCTCCTTCATTTGTACTGTTTTGTCTCACCTGGGGAGTGAGTAGTTAGCAAGCCACAGCCTCGCTGTTTTCAGACTGCGTGGTCCTTCGTGGTACCAGGTTTGCTGATACTGTAAGAAAAAGAACAAACCGAAGTAAAAGCTACTGGAATACTGCTCTTCCATTCAGTTACCTTAGATGACCTCCTCTTAGTACATAAGTGCCACCACAGCATCTGCTCTTAAATCTTGCTGTGTTAAGGCCTCTTTTTAATGGCATTTTGCATAACTATAAGCCCTAGAAAAAGGGATTCAGAGAGACCAAACTCTCTGCCTTATAGATCAGATCCTGACATGCTGCCATTTCACTTGAGAATATTCCAGTTGAACACTAACTCATTTTTACTTGATAACATACAGCTCCCTCCTTCCCAGTAAAAAGAAAGCCCAGAGCTGCAGAAATTGTCCTTATTTCTTAAAATAACCCACAAAAATAATAAGGAAAAAATGGACTCAGAAAAAGATGGGAGAAGCAGAAAGAAAGAAGAATCAAAGGCAGAAACAGATGCAGTAGCAGGAACTTATTTTTTTCTTCCCAAGTAGGAAGACAAACAACAATAAAGGACTTACTATACTAAGTAACAGTACAAACGTCCGAGCTCCTGTTTTATATGCTGTCTGCAGCATGGAATTTGGCCTGCAGTACAAGCCAGACTTAATGCTCCTGACTTAGATAATACATTGCCATAGTTTTGCTAAAACAGGCAACACAGAAGGCACATGAAGGGATGACATGAGAATCCACAGACTGACCAAAACCAGGAGTCCTGGACATAGCAGAGACCATCAAAGTAAGGTATCTTGAAGGGTGTCATACATATCTCCCTCAGCCCTTAGAGAACAAGAGAGACCATTACCTCTTCTTTGGACTTTTTAGACCTGTCGTCATCTTTCCTGGTCTTTTTTAATGCATCTGTGCCAACCACCGAAAGGATATTTCTTAATCTGGAAAGAAACACATTAAGTCGTATTCACTCAGTGAATTCTCAGCTAACCTAACACATCACTGTCAGCCATTCTTTCTTTGTTAGCATTCTTGCTGCATTGTAATGAAGCACCACTGACCGCCAGCACTCATTGCACCCCAACTACAAGGAAAATGTCAGGAATTTGATAAACTGAGGGCTCCCAGTTTGCAACACTCAGGGCAGACACAGCACCTCTCCCTCCTTTCTGCAGGACCTTCTCCAAAGAGCGTGATGGGCTCCCCAAGTGCTCGCAAACAGGCTTTCACTTCAGAGTCATCAGTGGACACGTTGATTTGCCGGGCTCTCTTCCTGCGCTCAAACTCAGCCAGCACTTCCGCCTGCCGCTCACTCATATGGTCTTCAAGATCAAAGACCTCACCTGAACAAAAAATGAAACTGTTAGATTGAAAACAACAATTGGATGAGAGATCCCTCTCAAACAGGAAGATCTAACAAAAGAGCCAACAGTCCAGTCACCAGTCTCACGTTTTTTACTTTAAATTATGCTCAAAGTTGATCAGAGACTTTTGAAAGTGTCACATTCCAGAGCAAGACAGAAAAAAAAAAAGGTGGTTAAACATTCTCACCGCTGCTTATGTTGATGTTGCCAGCCTCGATTGCAGCTTTCATCCCCTCTTTTCCCAGCAGCCCTGATTCTCCTTTTGCCAGACGCTCCCTTTCCTTCTCCTCCAGACTGCCATAAAAGATGGGGGCTCTCTTGGGTGGAGGAGCATCGCTCTCTTCTGCGGGCTTGCTCTTTGTGGCCTAGAAGGTAAAGGCAGAATTTTAAGTGTCTTTTGGCTAAAAAGAAGACAACAAACAGCTTGGCTGCGCAAGAAAGCGCTGCTCTGCTGGAGAAAGTTTGTACATACATCACGAAAAGACCTGAAATTGTATGTGAGGTGTGAATCTTGGACAGTGAGGCTATGCCCCAAGTGCAAAGATCAAAAGTAAAATGCCACAGTAAACACTTTGCTTAAACTAGACTGTGTTCTCTTTTGTTCCTTTCTTATCTGCTTGGACCTCATTTTTAAGGCTCTCGGGGGTTTTTTTGGGGGGTTGTTGGTTTTTTTAATGTTTAAAAAAAAAACAAAAACTTTAGAAGATGAAGCTTTTCCTAATCTTGCTGAACAAGCCCCAGAAAAGGCACGAGCAATACCGCTGGCCAGCACTCGGTGCCCTTGCTGGAAAGCTGAGGGAGATGGAAGGCAAACAGGCCCTTCCTCCCAGGAGAGAAGCGTTACAACAGACCTTCCAAGAAAAATTAAAGAATTCTGGAAAAAGGCGGGGAAACACCGTAAACGCTCCGGTCGCGGCCCTCTGAATGGCTCCGGTGTCACCGACAGCAGGGGGGTGCCTCCCCACGCCGGGACCTCTCCGCCACGGCAACCTCCACACGCCCAAAAGCAAACGCGAGCCCCCGGGTCGGCCTGCAGCCTCTCCCCACTCCTCCGGGCCGGTACCACCCCCGTCCAGGTAACGGGGCCCGGAGACGTCCCCCCCTCCCAGACGCCCACCTCCGCAGGCGCGGGAGCCCGCACGGCGGGCCGGGCGCCGCCGCGCGCCGCTGGTGCCCGCGTGGAGGCCATGACGGCCGCGCACCGGGAGGGGAAACGAGGCCAG